AGCTGCCATTGCCCAGAGCTGGGAGCCAGTTATGGCTCAGATGCCACAGACTTCTGTTGTCGTTATCGAGATTTAGTTGATTTTCTTGAATGAATATTTCTCCAAATGCTGTATGCCCTTAGGACAATTTCCAGAGACTTGAGCTTCTTGTTTTTATATATCCGTATGCTTTCCATAAGTTAATTTCTTGTTTGCCGAGTTTCTTCCTGGGCCTGTTCAGAAGGCCTCTCTCCTCCCATGGGACCTTAAAGAGCCCGTGTTCAGCTGTGTCCACAAAGGCAGGCAGAGGGGGCCCTGTGGGTCACTTCCAGTCCGTTTTCTTGAGGCTTTTCCCTGTGTGTTTTCTAGATCAAGCGGATGGCTCTTTCGGCATCTGTGTGGTGAAAGACAACAGCAAGATCAGCATTGAACCGTAAGTTGGAGCAGACTTAGAACCTGAGTGCTCACAAAGGAGGGTGCTGTTTCTCTCCCTGTGGGCCCCGGTGTCAGTTTTCCCCAAGGGCTGCGTCTTACGGGGAGTCGGGTTTAGCTGCAGAGGCTCCGTAGGGGAGAAGCAGTGGATTTCTCTGCGTAGATGTGGGAAGATCCCCACTAGTCACTCTGTTCACACATACGCAGTTTGGCACTTGGGGTTCCGGGCAGAATTGGTGGTGGCACAGGGCAGGACTCGAGGGCACCGGTGGGACGGGGCTGGCTGGCTGTGGTGTGGACGCAGAAGCATGCCAGGCGTTGGCATGCGCCTCCCCTGCCTTGACCCCGAGAGAGGCGCCCAAGGCCAGAAATGTGGTGATGAAGAAAAGCAGAGGAAGGAAGGAGGCGTCCCTGGAGAGGCTTCTGAAATGCCTGTGTGTGTCTGTCGGGGCTGGCGCGTACCCAGCACACCCGGGAGACAGCAGAGGGTTTCCGCAGGGCAGGCTGCGGCCTGAGCGGAGCCCACGGAGCATCTCCGTCTCATTTCCCATCGCAGTCACATTTGTGTGTCTCCCACTTCTGTGTGTGTGGCCTTATTTCAGACACATCAATATAGGAAGCCGGTTTCAGGCTGAGATCCCCGAGCTCCAGGACAGATCGCTGGCCGGGATTGATGAGCATGTCGCTTCTCTGGTCTGGAAGCCATGGGGAGACGTGATGACCAACCCGGAGACACAGGACAGAGGTGGCTGAGGCTTTGGAGTCAAATTCCTAAGGCCCCTTCTTCCCCCTCCATCTCCAAGGAGTTTGTCCTCCCAGTTCTCACCCGTCCCTCAGTGGGGCGTGGGGAGCTGGCCATGGCTGAGAAGTGCTTCTCCCCTGCTGCATCTCCCACCCCACCCCTGCTCTCACACAGTGGCCAGTGAGGCTGTCCAGAGCGGGTGCCAGGGGCGCGTTTCTGCTCTTCCTCCTTGTCCTTCCCTTTCCCCAGCCTGCCCTCGGTTGAGATGAGGAGTGAATGAGGAGGAGCCCCTCTGCGCTGTCTGGGAAGGTTTCCTCCTCGGCACCTGCTGACTCCCCTGTCTCTTCCTCACACACGCAGTGACTGAGCTCTGCAACGTGGCGTGCTCCAGCGTGATGCCGGGAGGGGGCACCAACCTGGAGCTTGCCCTGCACTGCCTGCACGAGGCCCAGGGCGACGTTCAGGTGAGGCAGAGCAAGGGGCAGGACTTGGGGGGTGCCGTAAGAAGCTCCCTGCTGTCCGGGGCCCGGGGGTCCCCAGTGTACGTGATGTGCCTTCTGTTTGGGGGTTCACAGCTAATGGAAACTGAAGTAAGGCCAGCCATACTTCTGCCCAGTGGCTTTGGGATTGGCGTGGTCCTTAGGAACTGACTGCAGGGGGAAGCTCAGATAAGGCTCAGGTAATCAGTTACTTATCTGGGGCAACAACTGAGCACTGGGTTTTCCTCTGAGAGATCTCAGGGGCACCAGGGAAGGGGAGCCCAGTGGACCCTGTTCAGGCCCCGTGTGAATCTGGTTTATTTATTGGAATTTAGGTTTTGATTAAAATCTCACATATAAAAACCTCTGGTGCAGCATACATGCCTCTGCCCATTCCAAGGACCCCCCCCTCACAATTCTGAGGGTTAAAAAAATAAATGAAAAGTCTAACTGAGCAGTGGGAGGGGTAGAGTCACATTGCCCACGTTAGAGACCTGAAAGTCATTCTACAGTCTTGCTTTTTATCAAGCCAAGAGGCAGAGTCTGGCACACGGCGGGTCCTCAGGGCAGCCATCAGTACATAGCTATTGGGTACCTGGGTGCCTGTGCTGTAGGCACTGGGGCCAGGGCCAGCTCAGGGACTCCACGCTTGGTTTAGTGCTCTGTTATCTCTGTCCTGAAATTCTTACCCCTTTTCAAGCAAGGAACCCTGTCTATTTCATTTTGCGCTGGGCCCTACATGTTATGCAGCCAGTCCTCACTGGGGTTACACTTGTTATCCAGACAAAATCCCTGCCCCCATGGGGCTTACGTTTTAGGAAAGTCAAAACAGGAAATGTATTTTCAAACTTGTCAGCTCATGGTTACTGCTATGAAAAAAATAAATCGGGGCAGTTAGGTAAGGGTAGCATTCCTCAAAACGCTGGTCCCCAGCAGAATACGGGACTTGTGCCAGAATAAATCCATGCGGCTTCCTTCATGGAGACAGTCTTTCTCTGGAAAAAATGCCATCAGCTACACTCAGTGGTTTGCTTAGTGACATAGCCAATGTGCCCACAGACAGTTCACAGGCTGCTGGCTGGTCCAGGGCTACTCTGAGCGGCCCTGGGAGAGGGGGTGCCTTTAGGGACAGCTGTGAGTGTTTTGCAAATGAATGAAAGATTGTAGGTGGTCCTCCACCTCACCATCCCAGCCTCCTTGAGTAGCCCGCACCTCTTCTTGTTGCAGGTCGCCCTGGAGACTCTCTTACTCAAAGGACCCCAGAAGCCGTGGACTCACCCGCTCGCCGACTATCGCTACACAGGTGATTGGGGAAAGGCTGCTGGGATGGTTTTGGCTTGAGACCCTGTGAACCAGCCAGATCTGTTGGCAGCCTCTGCCTCTGCCTCTGCCTCTTGGAGTTCTCTTCAGGCCTTTGCCTGCCTTTCTAGAAAGGCCTGTCCTCGCTGGGGTGACTTAGCAAGCACTAGTTCCTGCTAGTTGGATCCTGCCTTTGCCCTTTTCCAGTGGTTTCCTTATGGGCTCTGCCCAGCCAAGAGAGGATACTCCTGGCCAGGGAGAGGGAAAGGTGGGCTCAGGTTCAGTGTTGAGCCAACCATCCCTGGAAGTCAGGCTGCCAGGGGCCCCCACCTGCCTTTAGCAAGCGATTGAAGCCTCAGTTGTCACATCTGTAAAGTGGGGATAATGGTCCCTCCCTTCCAGGGTTTTTTGAGGATTGTATGAGATTGATACATAATTGGTGCTCAGTAACGGCAACTTTAAAAGGGAGGGTGGTCTGCAATTCAGCCGTGGCTGTGGTCCCAGAAGGAGAAATGTCCTTCCCTCTATTGGCTTGTTCTTTGACAGGTTCAGACATCTGGACTCCTATGGAGAAGAGGCTCTTTAAGAAGGCCTTCTGTGCCCACAAGAAGGACTTTTTCTTGATACACAAGACGGTAAGGTGAACGAGGCCTGGTGGCAGTGACCTCACCCCACAAAGCTGAGACAAGTGAGAGCTGAAGGGCTACTAGGGGTCTGAGGGCCCCACCCCTCGCCTGCCTGTGGTGACACTCTACTCACACTGTAAACAGTTTATAATGTCAAAAGGCCGTCCTTGTGAGCAGCTACAAACAGTACAGAAATGCGCTACCTGCTCAGAACAAAGTCCTCAACACCCTTCCCCATAGTCCTACTTCTGATTGGTGAGCTCTGTTAACTATTTGGCCAAGCACTTACAGGCATTTCTCTGTCTGTACAAGTTTTTTGTTTTTTTGAGACAGTATCTTGCTCTGTTGCTAGGGCTAGAGTGCAGTGGTGTCATCACAGCTCACAGCAACCTCCCACTCCTGGGCTCAAGAAAGCCCCCGCCCCAACCCCCCAAAGAACCAAAAACAAAAGCCCAAAACAACAAGCCCCACCAAATTCCCCAATTTTAAGAAAAAACGGGGTCCCACTCTTGCTCAGGCTGCTCTTGAACTCCTGGCCTCAAGCGATCCTCCCACCTCGGTCTCCCAAAGTGCAGGGATTACCAGCCTGAGCCACCAGGCCCCGCCAAGGCCGTACTGTTTCAACTCCTAGTTTGTGAATACACGCAAAGCTGGGAAAAATTTGTGTGGAGAACGTATTTTCTGGAGAAAGATCCACAGCTGACTTAATTTCCTGGGAAATTTTCTTTCTAGAGTAATTAACCTTTTCCATTTTGTTTTTACAGAAGTTGTTTTTAAGTGAGATCCCTTCTTAGTGGGACAAAGAGCAAATGATGCCCCAGATTCAAACTGTGCACTCTAAACTTCCCCGTTCTCTGGAGTGGGCCACTTTTCCCACAAGGACTCTAGAGGTTCTGCCTGGTTGTAGGGCTGTGTGGTATCCGCCGCATGAGGGCATTCGGGTTTAATTAGCCCCAGCTGATGTCGCAGGGAGCAGCGTCCTCCTGTGTGTATCTTCCAGCACGTCTTCCTATAGGGAAGAATTCCTGGGCTGGGATTGCTGCTCAGCGTGCACCGGACTTAGATGTTGGTGGCTACTGTGTGGCTTCACTTTGAACCCCTCAGCCCTGGAAGGACTTTGAGATCCTCTGTCCTTGCGGTGAAGGGGCACGCCCCGCCAAAGGAAGAGGCCTTTGGGAAGGGCTTTCCACAAGTGGCAGCTGACCCAGTGGGAGGGTTACACTCACTGGCCTGCGTGCTGCCTGCAGCCTGCTTCTGTTCTCTTGCACTAGATCCAGACAAAGACGGTAGCCCAGTGTGTTGAGTATTATTACATCTGGAAAAAAATGATCAAGTTTGACTGCAGCCGAGCCCCGGGGCTAGAAAAGAGGGTCAAGAGAGAGCCAGATGAGGTGGAAAGGACAGAAGAGAAGGTAGAGGATCAGGTGTAGGGGTGTGTCTGGGGTTTCTCTCCGATCTGGACCCCCACTGCCCATCTGTGTTGGAGGGCTGGGTCAGAGGGTGGGGGGCTCCTGAGGGGAAAGTTTCCGTATAGAAGACACAATGCTCTTAGATCTCTGTCCCCCTTAGAAGGGGGAAGGTTAACACCCTTACATCGTTTTTGCACCGTCTGCAGGTCACTTGCAGCCCTCGGGAGAGACTCAGCCACCGTCCGACTCCGGAGTTAAAGATAAAGACCAAGAATTACAGGAGGGAGTCCATCCTCAACTCCAGCCCAAATGCAGGTCCCAAGCGGACCCCCGAGCCTCCAGGCAGTGTGGAGAGTCAGGGCGTTTTCCCATGCAGGGAGTGTGAGAGGTACTCAGCTTTTTCCTGGAGATGCTCACTCGCCCCAGCCTCAGCCCCATGATCCCTTCCTTGGGGTGACCCCTCTCCCTCCCTGCTCTGACCCCATGTCTTCTGGCGACTCCTCAGGGTGTTCGACAAGATCAAGAGTCGAAATGCCCACATGAAGCGGCACCGCCTGCAGGACCACGTGGATCCCATCGTCAGGGTGAAGTGGCCGGCAAAGCCCTTCCAGCTGAAGGAGGAGGAAGAGGAGGAGGAGCTAGGGGCCGACGTTGGCCCCCTGCAGTGGTGACTCCAGGAGGCAGCAAATCTGGATGGGGTCTTCAGCCCTGTCACACCTCCCTCAGCCTCTCCAGGGTGTTTGGGGCACTGCTCTGCCTCCCCACCCTCCCTGTCCCCCACTGGCCAGCCCGGTTAGCAAACTTGGGGGGAATTTGGCCACAAACGGGCAGGAGAGGCAGAGTCATCAGACAAGTCTGAAACCCCGTCAGGCGATGCCCGAGGTTCCATTTTGTTAGGTTAATAGTCTCTCCCCATCTTTCAATTCCACTTCTAGAGCAGGGAGGCTCGGGAGGGAAACAGTTAGGTCTGGGTAGCTCTTAAATCTTAGCCTCAGTTGTGGGGTTTGGTTACATTTGTTAGATAAGGCCAAGATGGAGAGAATCAGTGGGAAAACACCTTGAGATCTCCAACAGGTTGGGGCCCCTCCCCAGGACAGGGGTCGGTCTTTCTGCATTCTGGATTCAGTCCCTTGTCTTGCAATGACTTGTACATTGCTAGGTGTGTTTTTGTACGTGTCTACTTGTAAATCTTATTAAATTGGATTCTTGAGCAGCTGTCTTCTGACTTCCCTGCTTCTTGATCCAGTAAAGGCTTTTGAGCCCCAGCCACTTGCTGGG